CTCCATCCAGTTTCCCCAAGTATGGACAGTCCACGTAAAAGTACAATTATCAGCCATAAGGAAGAAAACTGAGCAGGGTGTGTGGCATATAGATAAGCTTATCAGTTGGGAGGTGGAGGCAGGGTGGTCACATGTTCAGCCTGGCTTCATGGGGAGTTCTGAGCCAGCCTGAGCTACGTAGCTGCAGAATCAACAGCAAACTCAATGCAGCAAAGCATAGCACAAACACTAGGACGCTTAGACACTGTGCGCTCAGCTGTCTCCATACCTGCTGGCAGTGCCCAGCCCTTCCTCTGGGGTCCAATCCAGAATGAGAACTTACATGTAATTTTAATGTCTTTAACTTGGACATTCCTCTACCCCCTCCTCTTCCTCGTCTTCTTCCTGTTTGTCTTTTGTCATGCCTTACAGTTCTTGAAGAACTGTTTTGTAGATTGTTCCAGATTTTGCCTTGTGTACTTGAGTTCAGGTTATGTGGATTTGGATAGTAGTGCTGCAGACATGATGCCTTGTCCTTCCTGCTGCATGAGTCATGAGTGGTTCTCTTGGTGTTAATTATCTCTCAATTAAGGTGGTGCCTATAATGATCTCCTTGGAAAAGACACTGTTTATCTGTTGAGTAAGGATTATATGGAGAGATATTCTGAGACCACATGTGTGTTTTTATTTCTCATCACACTTTCACTTAGTGATGATTCTTGTAGGCAGTGACTATTAATTACCATGGGGCTTGCCAGGTAAATGTTGGTGGGAAGGGGTGGTGCTGGGGATGAGACGGGGACTTCGTTCCTGCAAGGCCTCTGCTCTCATCACTGAGCTATGTCCCTAACCCCTTCTCCGTTCTTCATTTTTAGATACTCCCGTGTTTGCTGCTCTAGTTAGCAGCGTGAACCTGGGAGAACAGGACCTAAAAATGAGGCAGATTAGAGTATCATGCAAAGGCCTGCTTTATTCAGAGAATCAAACAGTTTATACTCTGAGGGTTAAGAAGAGTCACTGAGTAAAGTATACAGTCACAAGGATAAACCGTGTGTGGCAAAAACATGTTTTTCCATAGAGACATATGAATAACAGCAGCTGAGTAAACTCACTCCTATCCGCTATACCTGGGAGAAGCATGAAAACAGATTCCAAGAGCAGTTCTGTGTTTTGAAGAAACCGAGGTCATAAGACTCTTGTTTTGTTTTCCTTGCATTTTCTCATAGCACTCAGAATTCACCTCGCTTGACTCCAACCCTGGACTGTGTTTCAACAGTCCTGTGGCCTAGGAAGGCTTTGAACATGTGAGACCTCTTTCCTTAGCTTCCCAACTAGTTGGAATAACAGGTGTGTACCACCATGTCTCTTTTGTTTGTTTGGTTGGTTTTTTGAGATAGGCCCTCACTATGTAACCTTGTCTGGCTTAGAACTCACTAAATAGGTCAGGCTGGTCTTGAACTCACAGTGATCCACTTGCTTCTGTCGCCTCAGTGCCAGGATAAATGGCATACGCCAACATGACCATCTACCATCATGTTAAAAAAGCGTTCCAGTGACCCCATTTCCCTCTAACTCTGTCTTCCTCCTCTGCCCCATGTGGTGGGGCTTCCTCTGTGGAAGCTTTTCTGTGAGCCTATATCATTTCCTCCATGGCCCACTTTGCATCCCTTCCTGTATGATACACTTGACCTGTCTTCTAGTGCTTGTTGTTCCATGGAAGTGATCCTTACCAAGACTAATTTTTGACCTCTGTCTTTTCACGTCTCCAGGTCAGTTTGTTCTGACCCTAATTGCTGTAGGTTCCTTTCCTATTTGTATCCCCTTGTTCTTGACTTGTCTATTGCTCTAGCTAAGATGTCAAGTCCTATATTGACTAGGTATAGAGAGATTGGATGGCCTTGTTTTGTTCCTGGTTTTAGTGAAAATGCTTTGGGACTTGTCTGAGGTGACAATGGTATCACCTTTTCAGAGAAGCATTCCTGGCATGGGCAGGAGCCTGTTGTGTTTTCCTGGGTTTCTTCTTCTTTAATTATTCCCACCATAATACCTGATTCTTTATGCAGCCAGTCTTTATTAGTTACCCGATGTATATCAGAAAGCATTCTGGGCATGGAAGAAAGTAGGATGGTGGAGGTCCTTATTTTTAAGGAGTCTATATTTCTGAAGAAGGGAAAAAGAAAAACAAGTTGTGTCATTTGGGGCTGTGGTAAATGGTACTAAGATAAAGTGAAGTCAGGTGAAGTGACAATGTGATGCCACACGTTTGCATGTGCGGCAGGCGGGGCCAGCTGTGGCACAGTGATGACGTGTATATGAGTTGACACCTCAGGAGGAGAATGATCTGGTCTTGCAGAAGTCTGAAAGAGCGGCTTCCCGGGCAGAAACCACAGCAGCTCAGGGAAGCAGTCCAGCCAGCTAGGAGAATGGCAGGCAGGGAGAGGACAAATCAGGAGGACATAATTAGGGGAGCTGGGCGGGGCCAGAGCAGGTAGGACATTAAAGATCTGCAGGTGAGACTTTGGCGCTGGGGAAGCAAACCTAGGGTCTTGGCCATGCTGGGCAGGCACTCGCTTGCTAAGCACACACCCACCCAATACTGGATGACTAAGAGAGAGAGGCTACATGGTTTGATTTATGCCTTCAATCATCACTGGCCTATGAGAAGTACGAAGGGACCAGACTGAGAGCAGAGCAGGAGGAGCTGTGGTTACATGAACAAGGTGTTGGTAGTTTGAGTTACTATATAGTTGGTGTAATTGAGAGAAGTTGATGGCTGGAGAGGTGTCTGAAGGCAGGCTGCCAGGACTCACCAATAGATTAGATGCGTAAGTCTATGGAAGTGTGGGTTCAAGCACAAAGACCTCAGCAGTTCTTTCAAGTACTGGGTGGTTGGTGGCATTTGTGGACATGTGGATGATTTGGGTGGTGATGAAATGTCCTGTGGAAGGAATCACGAGTAAAGTTGAATGTTGTTTTTAGGACCTCAGAATGTGTCTGACAAGAAGGGGTTTGGGAATGTGACTCTGAAGGTCAGTGATGCAGCCACAATCTGGGGACCCATAAACGTATTCATTGTCTTAGTGCTGGGTTGTAGCTCAGTTGGTGAATGTGTGCACAGAGCCATGGGTTGATCTTCCGTACCACATAAACTAGATATAATGGGGCACACCTGATTTAAAGGCAAGAGGATAGTGCTCTCAAGGTCATTTTCAGGTATATAGTGAGTTCCAAGCCATCCTGCATTGTGAGAGACTTGTCTTAAAATAACAGCAAAGAACATTCCCACTCCCCAGCCCCACATTTATTCATTGTATTGTAAAGTTGTGAGGCTTGGCAAAGTGAGCTAGAGTTGGAGAACAGATAGAGAGAGAAGAGAACCAAGGGTGGGCCCTGGGCACTGCAGAGCTCAGGGTCTGGTAGTGGAGGAGAGGTATGAAAAGGAAAGGGAGTCACAGAAGACAGAACATGCCGAGAAGGACATTTCTGGGAGGAAGGAGATCAATGGTGGTGTGCTGCATAGAGCTCAATGAAGGTTCAACCATAGAGGGGACCATAAACTTGACTCTGATCGTCCCACGGGGACGACATTTGGATGGCAGGAGATGGAACTTAGCTGTCTTTAGACTGTGTGCTGGTCCTTAGTCCCTCCTAGGAGTGAGCGGGTGATAGATGGTAAATGTTGGTATATAAGTTTTAATTTTACAACATGGTTTAAAGCAAGTAATGAACTGTTTTACCCTTACTCAGAGTGCTTTTAAGGATTGTATTCTTATTTATATGTGTGCACACCTGCATGAATGTATGTGCATCATGTTCATGTAGGAGCCTACAGAGGCCAGAAGAGGGAGGGCATCGATCTCCTTGAACTATAATTACAGGGGTTGTGAGCTGCCTGATGTGGGTGCTGGGGACTGAACCCACGTTCTCTGTAGTAGCGCAAGCTCTTTTAATTTCTGGGTCATCCTGCCAGCCCCACCAGAATGCTTTTGAGCTTTGCTACCAGTTTTATTATTATTACTATTTAATCAGCTTAAGGAATGTACTCCTGTGAATTATAACTTAAAAAAAAAAAAGAAAAAGAAAAAAATGTGAGAAAGGCCATTCTGACTTGGCAGGAGTTCATAGTAGCCACATGCCACCATGATGTGTGGTAAGGGCTGTGCTGAGGAGGTTTCAAGCCATGGCTCTGCTGGTGTTCCCTTCTGGAGGTGTGTGCCCACCCCCACTGCAGTTCCTCCCCGTCAGGCATGGGCGATATCAGCAGATCCCCACAGGATTTCTGTGAGCAGTGGATGCACTGAGGCTCATCAAAGTCCTCTGTTTGAAGTGGCCCTCTTTAAGTACTAGTTTTGTAAAAATGATTGGATTAGCTGTCTCATTATTTGATTTTGAAGCCACTTAGCTCAGAGCATCACAGGATTCCTGTTGACACAGTGCTTCAAGTAGGGTGTGACACTGGTTCGGGGCTTCTCTAGAAAAATTAATTCCTTTGGTTTCATTCGTTTAATCTTTTCTCTTAGATCCAAGTGATAGACTCTGTCCTGATTAGTTATTATTCTCAACCCCTGGGAAGAGAGGGCCCGCAACTGAAGGATTGCTTCCGTCTGGTTGGTCTGTGGCCATGTCTGTGAGAGGCTGTCTTGATTCCTGTAGGAGGGGCCAGGACACAGCAGCTGGAGCCATCTTTACCTAGGATGTTTAAGAAAGCCACTGAGCATGAGCCAGTAAGTGAGCCAGGAAGCAGTGTCCTCCATGGTTTCTGCTTGAGGTCCTGCCCTGCACATGCTGCCGCTCTGACTCAGTGATGGACTGTGACCTGAAAGTTAAGCTGAAATAAACCCCTGTCGCTACCAAGTTGCTTTTGATCATGGTGTTTACAACAGTAGCAGACCCCAGCCTATGACAGGCCCCTTGGCCTCAGATTTGGCAAGGGTCTGTTGTCCTGGGTGTATAGGAAAGACTGCAAGCCTGTGTGCATGCACTGATTTCTGTCTGATAAGCTGCTTTGTGTTTACCTCTAGGGTAAAAACCATGGCAAGAAACTCCGAAATTATTATGCCGCTAACAGCTGTCCTCCTCCAACCAGGATGAGCAGCGTGGCAGAGCCTGTAGCCACACCCCTCGTTCCTGTCCCTCCCCAGGTGAGGCAGAGCAGTATGAAGAGACTGTCACATACATGTAGTCATGAATAGGGGTCCTGTGTCCCTGTCTGTCAGGGCCAGCCTGGGCAACACCCTGAAAGGTTCTTGGTACTCTTAACTCCTTGAGCTGTGTCTGCTAAGATAATGAACCTTGAGATCTCTCCTTGGACTTGGCCATGATATGTGAGATGATGGAAAAAATAGTGTTATGTCTATTTTTATGTCTTTCAGAATTCTAGGTTAAATGACTATGTGATATCTAGGCTTTGCCCTGAGGGTGGGTGGTGGAGGTGGTGGATATAAGTAAGGGATGGAGAGATAGCTCAGTGGTTAAGAACACTTAGTGTTTATGCAAAGGGACCTAGACTCTGTTCCAAGCACCCAATGGTGGCTTGCCTGAGAACATCAGATTCATGTGATATACATAATACATGTAGACAACAAACTCACATGTATAAAGTAAAATAAATCTAAAGATTCCACTAAAATATTGTTTACCTTGATTGCTTTTGATGATGTTAAGTCCTGCACACTAGATATGTTAATAATTGGCTTTGTTCTAGTCCTGGGCCCTGGCCTCATTTAGTATTTGCCAAGGAAGTGTTGGCCTTATTATTCAAAGCTTGGGTCCATGGATCAGCAGCATGGGCCTCATGGGGGCTTTATTAGAAGCCTGCAAAAGCTCAGTAACTTTCCATGATGTTGCATATTTGAAATGTTGCAGAGCAAAAAAGATGTGTCATTTTAGCCTGGTGTACCCAACTACCAAGGTATATTGTTACATTTGTGAGTGTTTTTCTGCTTAAAATGTGTGTAGGTCCCCCTGCTGAGCCTTCTCCTCAGACTTACAGGAAATGAGATAGATGAAAAATGGCAGCAGGGGCTTTCCAGCTGAGTGGTTTTCACAGTATGTGTTCCTTCAGGATGGTTATTCTAGAGTTAGGCGGCTGTACCCTTCCTCCTTGGAGAAAATGCCAGCCCATCTTGTTTGCTTAGCACAAACCTCTGTGAAATATGGAGATGTCCTGATGTCCCAAAGAATCTTCTCTTTCAGGTCAGACAGTGCTTTTTAAAAAACTGTTCTAGATAAGGTATGGTCTCCACGATCTTAACCATAGATTCACTTCTAGCCAAAATTTGCTTTGTAATTTTTGTTGTCCCAATGGGATTTAACATGTTATATGGCTTCACTAGGTTTTTATTCCCCTAGTTATATAGCCACAGGTAGTCTGGAGTGTTTGTAGGACTGGAGATTTCAAAACTTTGCAGCTGTGGGTTTAGCTGCTCGGTGCACAGTTGCTGCTCAGGACGTCTTTATTGCTGGGTTTTGAGCAGACTTCCCTCTCTGGAAGATCTTAGTTTCTTGCCCTCCATGTCCATGCTTTGACAACATTTCTTCAAAGGATATAGCATCACACTAGTTGGTTCTTTGGTTCATAGGTAGTTGTAATCCAAAATGGGACAAAGGGTCTCCCAGTCTCTTCCCCTAGAACTGCTTTCTTCTTACAAAGCCTGCAGCCTTGCCTTAGGCTCTGGTTGTTTCTCAGAAGGATCTTGGAGGAGTGGGAAGGTGTAACAATGCTTCTGTATCTTTGCTGGCAGGTGGGCTCTTGCAAGCCTGGGGGCAGAGTGATCCTGGCCACAGAGAATGACTACTGTAAGCTGTGTGATGCCTCCTTCAGCTCCCCTGCAGTGGCCCAGGCCCACTATCAGGGGAAGAACCATGCCAAGAGACTTCGTCTGTCTGAAGCTCAGAGCAACTCGTTCTCGTAGGTATTGCCATTGCCTCTGAAGCCGGATTGTTACATGAAAGCAACTGTGTTTAAAGGAGGAGATAAAAGGGAGCCTTGTTCATATGTTCACTCATTTCACATCCCTTTTCTTCAGGGACTCTGCTGAGGCAGGGCAAAGGCGGACCCGTAAAGAAGGGAGTGAATTCAAGATGGTGGCCACCAGGAGGAATATGTACACAGTCCAGAACAATTCAGGTATCCTGCATGTTCCCTTGTGCCTCACACTTGTACACAGATCTGCAAATGATAGCAGGAGAGAGCCCCAAGAGATTGGGGAAGTTGTTGTTTTACTGAATGGCTCTTCCGACTGTTGAGGTGGCTGTCTATATCTGGTATTCTTTATTTCCTATTCAGTATATTTCAGTATATTATTTATCTTGGTTTTAAGTCGTAGTGTTTTATAATTCTTTATGATTCCTCTTATAATTCCTTTTTTTAAAAAATATTTGTTGGAAGAAATGTGTAAAGCACAGTGGAAAATGCATGCATGAGGACCTCTGTTTGATCCCAAGCAGCACATGTAGGAAATGCCAGTCACAGCAGTTCACTCTTACAGCCTCAGGTAGAGATAGCAGGTCCCTGGAGCTCACTGCCCAAACAGCTTTGCTGAATCAGCAAGTTCCAGGTTCAGTGAGATTCTGTCTCAAAACAAGAGGTGAAGAGAGATTGAGGAAGACATTTGACCGTGTTCAGTTTTCATCTATTGGGGAAAGTGTAAAACAGCAGTGGTTTTTAACCAGGTAGTAAATAACAGTTGTCTATAAAGTTCTTGTGATGTGTACATTGGGTGGAGAACCATGTATTTATGGAAGCATTCTGTGTTCATCCTAGTCTCGGCAACCACAGCCTTCAATACTATGCAGACCAGCAGAACAGTAAAGCAAAAACAAGCTTTCCTGAATAACAAGAGATAGCTAGTAAAAATACAGAGACTGAAACACCTGTGGCCTGATGAATACAGTCTCAATGCATTGCTAGTGACAACAAAAGTCAACTAAAAGACAAAGGTGGTCAGGCTGGATTTCAAAAGCTAACTGAGACAAAGGAACCTCCCACAGCTGTGTTAATGTCAAGGAAAATGCATTTTAGGATTTGGATAGCAGAGTAATAAAAATAGACAGGGTTAAAATGAAAGATCTTACTATGTTGCCCACACTGACTTCAAATCTGCTACAATCTTTATGCCTCAGGTTCCTAAGTACTAAGTCTTTAAACTTTGTATTTATTTTTAAGAGCCATAAGCATTTAAAACCAGGACTTATCCCTATAGTAAGCACCCTGACATTAGTAAGAGAATCATTTCATGTTTATGGATTGAACTTGTGTATACATGTAATTCTTTTAAAAGTTTGTTCATCTCTCCTTCTTTATTTAAAGTTAGAATCTGAGTTGGAATTTAGAGTTATAATGTATTATAATGAGAACTGGTGGATTGTCTTTACTAAGTGGGCATTCTGAGTTTCTGTGTGTGTGTGTGTGTGAGAGAGAGGGGGGGGGAGGAGAGAGGGAGGGAGAAAGAGGGAGAGAGAAAGAGTTTGGAGCTATCTTTCTCCATTGTTTTCCACCTTATTTTTTGAGCTCACTGATTGACTAGGTTAGCTTGCTAGTGAGTCCCCAGGACCCTCATGGTTCTGCCTCTCCAGCAGTGGGGTTACAGGGATGGGCTACAGTGCCTTGCTTTCATGTGGGTGCTGGAGATCTGAACTCAGACCCTCAAGCCATCTCTCAGCCCTCGACTTTTTCACATTTCTTTCTGCCTCTTGCTTCAGCAGGTCCTTACTTCAATGCCCGCTCTCGGCAGAGGATCCCACGAGACCTTGCCATGTGCGTCACTCCTAGTGGGCAGTTTTACTGTTCCATGTGTAACGTGGGCGCTGGGGAAGAAGTGGAGTTCAGGCAGCATCTCGAGAGCAAGCAGCACAAGAGCAAGGTGTCCGAGCAGCGGTACAGGAGTGAGATGGAGAACCTGGGCTATGTACAGTGACACCCATGCTTGTGGAGAAACTGGTCCTGCCTGTTGTTTGCCTTCTGTCAACCTGCCTTGCTTTGTGGTCCCCTTGATACATACATTCCTCATTCCTCTGCTTAATAACCTGCAGTGGTACCATGAGTCGTCAAGTCGGGGTGGGGGAGGGAGCTGTGCTTCTTAGGTCACAATGCTGTTTTGGGCCAACTGTGTCAAAAGGCTTCCAGCGTGTGACCTGCCTGCCCCGTCAGAAGTAACTTCTCATTTTGACCAAGTTAAGTAACTTCTTATCTTGACCAAGTTTTCTTTAACCAGGAGTAGTCTGACCGTTTAGAGCTATGATCAGTTAAAAACAGCATCTACTTTAACAGTTTTAGTTTTATGCATCTTAGGTGAAGACTTTTTTGAGTTTGTTCTTCAGATTATTGTGAAAAGAGTTAAACCGAGACTCCCATTTCCTGATGCTCCTGGGGAACCATCACCACAGTGCGGTGTCTTTTCAGTACAGTGTGTTATTATGGTGTGTGCTTGGGTTTCTCAGCAACAGTTTGCCCCTCTGGCATGTCTCTCTGTAATTGACATGCATTTTTTTTTTTTAATCGAGACTCTTCCAGGATACTTATGTTCTTTTGAAGATGTAACTTCATCTCCAGTTGAGAATTGCACACATTTAATCCCCACCTATCCCCTCCTACTTGGATCAGCTTGTCTGTTTGACTATCTAATGAGTTGAAGATGGATATTCTTTTAGAAAATATATTTTTCAGATGATTCAAAGAGATGCATGGATGTGTTTGAGATTCAATTTGGAATCATATTTTCACTGATAATTACGTGAACTCATGGGATGGTCATTGTCCTGTGGCTTTTTAATGACTGATTGTGTCATCTGCCCCTGCAGGTGATGGGCACTCCTGGAAAATACCGCTCTCTGCTGTGTCTTACGTGGAAAGTTTTCTTTTTTAAAAGCTGATCAAGTTTCATTGTCATTCCCAGTAGAAGAACACACAGACACTGTGTTTTCTTCTTCGCCTCCTTGAAGAGACTGAAAACACAGATGGCTTTGGTGTCTATTGATTCTGATGGGTTTATTCTTTTTTAAATAAAAAGCCATAGTGTATGTCTAGATCGACTACCGGAGTATTATGTGAACGTGTGTTCACTGTGTTTTCTCCCTCGCCTCGTGGTGAGAGTGGCATGCCCATTGCTTCGCAGGAAGCATGCTTCTGCTGAAGGTCTGTAGCAAGCAGTATTTTGCACTATGACAAATGCACATTTTATTATTCATGTCACCACTGGAAACTTCTGTGTGTCCTCAAGGATTCTCCAGGCAAACAGATGGAGAACCAGGAAGTGCTTGCCACCCCTCCTTTCCATTCTTGCTTCAGAATAGTTGACACTCACAATTAAAGGTTCATTTTATGATTAGCTTCTAGAACAGTATCCGGTTACTTTCTCATGTTGAAATGCTGGTTTCTTGAAAAATAAAACTATTTGGTTAAGTATTTCCCCCTCAGAAACAGAAGAAAGGACAGTGTTCACTTGAGATTTGATCTCCATTTGCAACTCCTTATGCCAGAACCCCTTCTGTGGCCATCTACAGAGTTGGTCAGTTTAGGGCAATTTAGGACATATCCTGTTAGCCATTTGGTTGCTCATTTTGCTGCTAAATAGAATTTTTCAGTAGATTTTAACATAGTGCCGGCCACTTGGTTCTGTGATCGTTTAACAGTCTCATTTGCTCTCACTGTAGGGGTGTGTGTCTGTGCGTCTCTGTGTATGTGTCTGAAGATACATGCTTCCCTCCCCCTAGTTTTATGTGATAACCCCAGAGAGAATTTCACCTCATCTTTATCTCAGAGTAACTGAAAGATTCTGAGCATAGATTTACATTTTATAAAAGTGGCGTTCATCTGCTTTGAGTTTTTCCTTTTGGAATGAAGTCAAAGGATGTGCCCCCCACTCTCTGTATGTCCCCCACTTTGCTGAATCTCTCTCCACTCTCTTATACATCATCCTTCTCCTGTATATCTCCTCTACTCTCCTGTATGCCCCCCTTCACCTTCCCACTCTTCTGTATGTACAAAAAACAGTGGACTTAAGGGCTTGATGTGTTTTCAAGCCTTGTGAATTCAGGTTTCTAGTCTCCCAGTGCCCTTAATGAGTGTTAGGGACGCATAAGTGTGGTTCTTTTAGAGAGAAATGTTAGATTTATAGTGTTATTTCTATATTCCTTTGCACTAAAGAGAGTGATGTATTTGTTCTACGACACTCCAGTGCCAGGTTGCCTACCGTAACTGAACTTGTTTCTAAACTCTGGAAGTTGACAAGTAACTACCAAGGTCATTGTTAAAGGTTATGTGGACGTCTGAAACGCTTGGAAGATCCCTGAGCTGAGGTTGTACTGTCCAGTGGGTAGGGCAGAGGGTAGCTTCTCACGAAATGAACCCTGTATGGAAATTGTCCCTTGTCTGACCAAGCTGTGTTGGTGTCTGAGTCAGCTAACTGAGCTGTCTGTTGGTTTCTTCTTGTGAAGTCTTGTCCTATGATGTCACATGCTGTAGGATCAGCTGCCTGTTCCCCAGGAACCCTGTATCTCATGACATGCCACAGTCATGGAGGGACTGAAGTCTAAACAAAGGAAACCTCAGTCCAGAATTAGGTAAATTTCAGTTCCATCAGTTATTTGTGGCACTGCTTGTGTTCTCCTGACCGGGTCTCATTAGGAGGGCAATTGGAACACCCAGATCCAAGGCTGTGAGGAAGTGTCCAGTTTCTGTCTGGCTCCATATGCCTTCAGAGGGCATTAGCTCTGGAGTCCAGCTACAGCCCATGTCCTTTGACCTTTTAGACCTTTTAGACTTCACCCTGAGGAGAAGACTTTCCTGGTCTGTGTTGGTCTGTGTCCTGTCATTTGTAAATGCGTGCCTGTTGTTTTATGCTTGTCTGCTTGCTTCTTACAAACTAAATTCTGCATTTTTTCCATACCATTTGTCTTGAAAAAAATCCGTCTCATCAACTCTTTGCCTTTTAGTTCCCTGTGAGCGTAGGAAGTCAGCGAGGAGTTTTGACGTCCTGACAGTGTATAGAGGATGGAGGCCGAGAGCTCGTTCACGTCCTATGATCTGAAGAGACTCTCCCACTTTACTCCTCGGGGCTTTGTGTAGCCTTCGGTCTGTAGTCTGAATAAGGAGAAACATTTCTGCATGCATTTGTATACCTGATCGGGCCTTCCTGTGTAGATAGGATCTAACAGTTGACTGTGGGACTTAGGACTCCTCCATCCTGTGTTGCCTGGGACTCCGAGCAGTGGCAGTCTAAGGACAGTGAGTATAAGGAGTCTTGGCAGACAGGTAGCTTTCTCTGTGGAAAGGCTTGAGAACAGCAGGTTTGTAATCTACTTTGTTCTGTAAATGTCAGAATTTAGCCAGAAGTATTTGTTAGAGGTGAGGTGTGTGTGCCTCGGCTGTGGAGTGTCTTAGAAATGGGAACATAATTCTGTTGGTGTTTGCAGAATTTTAATGTGGATATTTGAACAGGTGTTTGTCCCTCACTTTAAGTCTCTCTTAGGAGTTTTATATGTGATTAAAAAAAAAAAAAAAGCTGTGTTGCTTTTGTGTTTTGGGTGAGCGAGTCCCCTGTGAGCCGCCTTGCCAGTGTGGCTGAGTGGACACTAGCTGTGTAAATAGCTTCTCATGAGACATTTATATGGATAGTGTGGTGGTGTTCCCTTCCCATTATCAATATTCTATGAATTTCCTTTCTCTGTAGCTACCAAAAAAAAAAAAAAAAAAAAAAAATCCACAAAAAAGTCCTGGCTTATGGTCCCATGTGACCTTGTGTCCGTTAAGCCCAAAATATGAGTGCCTTTAGCAAGCGTTAGCATTTCACAGAGGGTAGAAATGACAGAATTTACTGCCGTTAATCACAGTTCACAAAATAGCTTGAAATAGTAAAGGTCCTTGTGAATTCTGTTCTTTGTCTTTTTTCCCCCGTTCTTAGTGCAATCTCAATTTGCTATTGGGTAAAACTGAACTCTGAGCAGGAACCTGGGTGCTAAAGCTGGCAGTAGTCACCTCATGGCAGGGAGGCTATGTCCTGGTTGCTGTGGCTGGCATTTTGCCTGGGTGGATTATGTTGGATGGTGCAAAGAACTCGGCTCGAGATGCTGATGTTGGAAAAAGCTTCCTATGCTGATCGTGCCCTGACTTGGTCCTGTAGAGAGGAGATAATTGTGTATCTGCAAATAAAGTGCATTGAGGAGCTGCCTGGGACAGTAGCTCCAGGTCACACTGTACATTCACAGGATCATCTCCTGTGGATTGAGGGGCCTTTCCAAGCAAGCTTGAGGCCTTTGAAAACAACAATTTCCTTACTTTGATGAACCGAAAACTTCCAATTTCCTAAGTCTTTACAATCTTTCGAACGTATGATTAAACTAATTTAGGTGTAGAAGTAGTAATGCTTGCCTCGAGATTTTATAATGAAGAATTTGTGAAAGTGAAAAACATTTGGAGCATACCTAACTCTGTCTTCCCCTGTCAACCTTTCCCTCCTTGTATTTCCATGTTTCTCCCCATGAGCCCATCACTGTATTCATCCCTCTGCTCACCAGGGTACATGTCCTAGCATCACTTTCAGACATGACCATCCTGTGGGTGTCATGCACTAGGATTTAACATTTAACTGTTAATACTTAGGAAACCGAGTGTGTAGGTCGAGTGTGTAGGTCATAACTTGAGCCAGTGAACACTCACCGTTCGCTCCTGTGGACATCAGTCTTCCTTGTTTCTGTCCTTGAGTGTGCTTACAGTTTTCAGCAAGTCTGCACCAGATTACCTGGCCCTAAAGGTTACATTCCTGAGCTGTGGACCCTCCCTGGGCTCTGTGACCACTCGCTTATTATGTACGCGGCAGAATCAACACTGAGATAATAGTCCTGTCCGCTGAGGCCTTTGAGTAGTCTGTAGCCAGTCATGCCCTCTGTCTCTATCCCGTTCTCACCTGCTGTGCACAGCTCTGCAGGACTGAAGGGATTAGCTCCAGGTCAGGGAGACTGGATGGGCAGATGAATCAGAGCTCAAACTGGAGTTTTTCTGCTTCCAAGTAACTGAATGCTCCTTTTGGACTCTTAGAAGGACTGTGTTTATTTTTATGAATTAGAATTTTATTTTTCGGCATTTCACAATTCTTTTGACATAAAGATATTCTTATGGTCATTTGTTGTTTTGTAAAGTTCCATCTAGCCCAGACTGGTCTTAATTCTATCTACTGTGTAGCTGAGGATGACTTTGAACTCCCAATCCTCCTGCCTCCACCTCTTGGTGCTGGGATTACAGGCCTGTACCACCATGCCAGGCTATAATTGTAGTTTTTAAGTCCAAAGCAATTGCTACAATCTCACTGCATTGTTGAACACCAACTAATGCAGGGTCTGTCTGATTCTCTTTTGTCTTTAGATGGCTTTCACGGTCACTCTGTCAATGTAAGTAACTCCTCCCTAGTGAAAATGGTGTTCTTTATCACTGACCACTCATGCACTCTCTACCTGATTCTTTTTTCTTTTAAAGAAAATGGCTCCATATGCCCAGATGAGTGATACTATCTTAGGGCAAAGCCCATACTTGGGAACAAACCTCTTGGAAGTGGCTGGTCATTGTTCTGTCTTCTTTTGGTACCTGAATACCTGCCAAAGGTTCTGCAAGTCAGTGTGTCCTCTTGTAAGTCTCACGGTGACTCTCAGCTCACCTGTGATCCCCAGTCAACTGCAGTGACCTGGCATGGGTTTAGTGTGGCCTCTTTGAGATGCCTTACTGGGTCTGCCAAGCCAAGCTGTTAGACATCCCAGCTGTTCACTGAGACCCACAGGTCCTCTCGATCTGGAAGCAAAGCTGATCTCGCTTTCAGTATCAAGAGGACATCTTAATGCAGTGGTTGTCTTAAGTTAGAAATGAAGTAGAAAGCCGAGAGAGTTTGGAACCCTCCACATGATCACATGGCAAACTGTTAATGTGCTTTGCTATTTCACCAGAAAGAATGCAGCTAAGAAGTCCAAACCAGGAAGGTGGGGCGGTGCCGTGTAATGCTCTCTTCTTGCCATTCGGGGCTTGAAGGTCTGAGCAGGCC